ATAAAACGCATTATGGATGACTGCGTCGCTGACACTGATTCACTCCCTCCTATGAAAGATACGACTTCTCGCTAGAAAAAGTCAACGAAAAAAAAACAATGACATCTGGAAGGAGCTTCAATGTAAAAGGGGAACTACGATACCTAACTGCTTTACCTGTACAAGTCCTGGAAGGAAATCTCGTTGGTGCCAATTACAAGTACCAGATGTCCATTTAGAAAGCTTACATATAGAGTCAAAGTTATCATTAAAGGATGAAAAAAAAAATTACAATGATAAGCATCAATCAATCAATCATCAATATATTATACTAAAAGACAAGCACATCAATGTGAGGCTGACACATGTCACTCTATGATTTGCTTGTCTTATAATGGTAAAAAAAAAAAAAAGTTTAAAGAAACCTTAGAGCAATAATTTTGGTTAAAATTTATTATATAAACCATTTTGATTCAGAATTTTTGTTAATAAAATTTGATAAAATCTAAACTATTTGGAAATAAGTTCATTTATGGCAACTTATATTTAATGAATTTTGCTAATATATTAACAATTTTTTGAAATGATTGATTCAAATCATCAATATATTATACTAAAAGAAAAGCACATCAATGTGAGGCTGATACATGTCACTCTATGATTTACTTGTCTTATAATGGTAAAAAAAAAAAAAAAAAAAAAGTTTAAAGAAACCTTAGAACAATAATTTTGGTTAAAATTTATTATATAAACCATTTTGATTCAGAATTTTTGTTAATAAAATTTGATAGAATCTAAACTATTTGGAAATAAGTTCACTTATGGCAACTTATATTTAATGAATTTTGGTAATATATTAACAATTTTTTGAAATGATTGATTCAAATATAACCTATATATATATATATATATATTATAACTATAATACAAAGTATCTTTTTTCATAGTATATATAATTAATTTTGGAATAATAATATTTGTCATCAACTTTGCCACTATATGTAATATTTTTCTTAATTAAACTACACTTATTCACGTTCAACAATATGTTGACAATTACTCTATTTCATTATCTTCGTATTTTTAGTTTATTTTAGGGTTACTTCTGGGCTAATGCATAATAGGTATTATCCGGAGTCAAAAAATGATTATTTTTTTTTTGAATAAATAGACATGATAAGTACAATGTACTAGGGTTGTACTTGACTGAACCTATTCTAAAATTTATATGAACATACTAATTAATGTTCAACATTTTTTTTTTAAAAAAATACTATCCCTGCTTCTTATTACTTGCAACAAAGAGGTATAATATATGGGATATAAAAATATTTTTTAGTTGCAACTATTAAAAAAGGGAGTTAGTATTCGTTTTTAAAAGTCAAACTTAAATTTTTGTGTACAGTAAAACCTATATAAAACCTTTATAATAGGAAAAAAAATATTTTATTATGGTGTTTATAATTAATTTATTTGACTCTTTTACTAGACTAAAACCTACAATTAGGAAAAATTCAAAGTAAATTAGAAATAAGAATAACGTAGATATTTAATTTTATAATTGACGAGAATGTAGAATATTACTTGCATTGTCATTTCTTAATCCCTTGGTCATTATGTGAGTCTATATTTGTGTGTATGTTCATTGTCATTTTCGAGGTAATGCAAAACAGTTATTATGCGGGGTTTAAAAATAGAAATTTAATTGAAAAAACATGATGAGTAGTATGTACTAGGGTTGGCTAGGTATTTGAGTGAACATATTCTAAAATTTATATGAATCATACTAATGTTCAACATATTTGGTTTTTAATATTAGCCCTGTTTCTTTTGCTTGCAAGTTGTAACTAGGGTGCATTATTTATGGGATATAAAAAATTTCTTATTAGTTGCAACTAATAAAAAAAAATAGAGTTAGTTTCAAACTTAAATTTTTTGTTGTAAGTAAAACCTACATAAAGTCTTTATTCATAGGAAAAAAATATTTTATCATGATATTTATTATTAGTTTTCCTTTTTCACTAGATTGAAACCCACAATTTGGAAAAATTAAAAATAAATTAGAAATGAGAATAACTTAAAAATTTATTTTATTTTTTAAGGGATCGTAAAATATTACTACAATGATGAATGTTTGTTTGTATATACGATATTTACATTGTCATTTCCTAATTTATCCATTGATCATTATTGCAAGTCTTTATTTGTGTGTATAGACAACGATATATGTTTAATTTGTTAATTTTAGTGATTCCGTTATTAATCATTAAGTTAAATTATAAATTAATTTGTTGATTTGTAAACCGTGGATAGCACAGGAACTATGCTAGTTTTTACATAAATACATACCAAGGATGTTAGCATGGACAGGGCATCTGTTGAGATCCACCTGTTGAGAACAAGGGCAGAACAAGGGGTTAGAAAGAAAGAAGTTCAACAATTTCACCGTTTGCGTACAATGTTGAGAACCAAGATCAAACCTAATAAACACATCCATTAGGGGACTAGGTTGTGTTCCACCGTTTTCCTGACATTTCCCTAAATCATCAGATGTATGAGCCTTAGATGTATGACCTTCTGTTGGTGTTGCTGAAATGTTGTCAGAGTTAATATCATTGTTATTTCTAGTGATGCAACATTTCTTCACTACCGTGGTGTCCACCAAACCAGGTTCATCTCCATCCATGTTGCAAAAATTAGGTGTGGATTCCTTTTCAACTTTCTTCTTCTTTGTCTATCTACGTCGTGCTCTACGTTTCGGAACATACGACACATACAGAGAAGAAGTATCCTGGATTCCTAGTCCACTGCTATCTCTCGCATCTTTTGGATGAGTTTCACCATATGCAACATCTGACAGGTTAAAGTCGTATCAACTAATTAAAAGTAATTCCTAAAACCACTAACTAAAATAGATAGGGAAGTAGGGTCGAATCCACAGGGAAACGAGTCTTTTTATTCCTAATTAATTAATATAATCTAGATTATAGAGTAACAAATTATTATTATCGAAGGCAACTAAACTACTAAAAGTAAAAGTGGGAAAGAATAAAAGTAGGAGGAGAAACAATGAATAAAAGACCTAGGGCATAGGTTCACCAATAAATAATATTCCAGGGTAAAAACATAATAATCAATGCATCAATTAATCAGATCATAAAGGGCTTTCGCTACGTATTACAATCACATAATGAATCTACCGATATTAAATCTCATCTCTCGAATCTCGACTTAACCATTTATAAATTAACCTGCCTATTGAAACTAGACATAAACATCAATTCTCATCTCTCGATTCTCGAATCAATATTGTCAAACTCATGCATAAAAGATCAGGCCTAATCTAGTCACAGAGCATTAAATCAATCAATAGGAAATTAATTAAGCATTGACAATCAATAACAATAAATTACCCCTTCATATTATTTATAGATCCCCATAAACCCTAGAAAGAAAACTACTCACACATAATAAAAACTAAACTAAACAAAACAATCAAAGGAAGCATGATAAAAAGCAAGAATTAAGATAAAGAGAATAATAGTATTAAAGTAATAAGAAAACAAAATAATAAATATTGATGTGAAAATAGAGAAGAAAAGAAAACCAAAATAAAAGAAAAGAGAATTAAAAAAAAAAAAAAAACTACCTAATCTAAAGCTTGTCCTACGTACTACTACTACTCTACTTAAATACGAAAAGAAAAAGAAGTTTGATATCAAGTCAACTTCTAATCCTACTCCCCCTAAAACAAGGAAATAAAATCCTAACATAACTAAAACTAAAAAATTCACTCTTTCAAGGCCTACGTACTACTCCCTTAAAATAAGTTGGGCTTTGTTTGCATCAAGCCCAATCGACCAAAAGCAGCAGCAATAGCTTGAAATATCACGCCCAATCGGGCCCGCTTATTACGCCTAGCAGCCCAGCAACTGATGTATTGTGATTGGGTTTCTGTTTTCCTTGAGCCCAACTCTTAACTTGATTGATTAGCTTCTAAGAACTTGGACCTCTTTAATAATCGAGCCCTTAATCATCAAACTAAATTAATTTAGTCGGCCTTGAACTTCATATATACGGTCATAAAATACGATCAAATTCCAATATCTTTGTAGTGGCTCAATAAGCTCTGGAATCGTCATAATTCTTCAAATTCCTACAGAATAATACCAACTCTACAAAAACACTAGAAAACATATATTAGTAATAATAATAGCTCTGCAGAGCTCAAATAAGCACAAATATGACCGTGGGACGGGGAATAAATATATATATATAAATAATTTCAATTCAGCAAAAATAATTTCAGTTCAGCAAAAATAAGGTGAAGTGGACCGGCCCTAGCTTTGTGTTTCATGAGGTGATTTACTAATTTGTGATAAAATTTCCAAATATTTACTCATTTTGATTAAGGCCCTGTTTACTTCACCTTATTTTTGCTGAAGTGAAATTATTTTTACTAAACTGAAATTATTTTTTTTAGTGATTTTTAATTATATTTCTTCGTTAAGGGTTCGTTTGGGTGGTTTTTTGTTTTTTGGTTTTCAAACTCATATGATATATGTCATACAAATAATAAAAAAAAAATCAGACAAACCCATTAAAATCATGATAATATTGAAATCTGACAACAGAAAAGTGGAAACACCTTTTCCTTGATTTTTTTTTTTGGTTTTTTGTTTAAAAAAAAAAAAACTAAAAACAAAAAAAAATGCCAAACAAGCCCTAAGTTTACTAATTTTTACTAAACTGAAATTATTTTTGTTAAATTGAACTAAATTTAACTAATTTTTATTGAAAAGAAATTAATTTTACTTAACTAAAATTATTTTTAGAATTTTTTTTTTTTAAGGTGAATTAAACTTGACTTAACTTAGATTTTCTACGAAATCAAGTCCGGATCGGGTATCTTGTATCCGATAGTCCGATACCCTTATTTTGACAAGTTTGGATCAGTACCCAACTACCCATTTCCCAAAACGGTGCAAACCACTTCCTAGTCCCAGTTCCCCACACTAACCAGTAACCACAACCAAAAACTGCCGTTTTCTGCCCTAACTTCCCCTCTTCCGCAAAACTCAAGGGAGGAGAGAGAAAAAACCAGGGTTTTGTATATCTCTCTCAAGCTAGGGTTTTGCAGCAGCATTTGACTAACAATGGCGAAGAAGGAGAGTAAACCCAAGCATTCTCTCGATGTTAATCGAGCCAATGCCTCCGACTTTGGCAGCCGTAGCGCCGCCACTGTGCGCCGTCTCAAGATGTACAAAACTCGACCTTCTAGGAATACTAAGGGCAAGATTATGAGCCAGCAATTTCAGTCTAGTGATTTGCCTGATTCTCGTATTCAACCTGATCGTCGTTGGTTTGGTACGTTTTTTGTACGAATTTGCTGTTATTTTGATGCAAATTTTGTAGAATTTTAATGATTATGGAGTTATTGAGATTGGGACTTTGGAAGAGTTGGATTTGAATTTGATTGGAACGTGAAATTTGTCAAATTGTATAGGTGATGATTGAATTAGTTGATAGAGTTGTTTTGTGATAGTATCGTTCGGAAAATTAGGTGAAATTGGGAATTTGGATTATAGATTAGGGTGTCTGAATTTCCTTTGTTCTGAATTTATTGCGTTATTGGCACTTATCTTTGTTTAAAGTTTGAATTTTGGAACTATTTCTGGAAGCAGGCTTGTTCTTCATAATCAACATTCTCTACCATTTGGTAGAAGTTTCATTTAATTTTAGGATAATTGATTGTTGAATATTTTAAATTGTGTAAAATTGAATTTCTGCCAAAGTTAACTCTTGTTTTTGTTGAATTCCCTTTCAAATTCTGTAGGGAATACTAAAGTTATCGTTCCAAAGGAACTCGAACATTTCCGCACTGAGCTTGCTGGTCAAATGTCAAACAACTACAACATGATATTGAAAGGAAAGAATCTTCCTATGTCCCTTTTAAATGATCTTCCAAAGGTATGTGGCATATCCTCTACACTCATTGTTATTATATTTCATTAAGTATGTACTCCACATCGTTGATGCATAATTTTATTTAGGATTTCAAGACTAATTTAAGCTTCATGTAGAGCTCTTCATCATGTTGAATAGGTTGATTCGACTGAGGTTTTCTACTGGTGTCATTTTTCAGCTATATTTGAGTTAGTACTTGAGTATTGGGAGTAATGGGTGTGTAAAATGAAACTCATATAGACTGGGGTTGATTTCTCCTGTTGATAGCAAACTTTTATTTCTTTTTATTTTTCTCTTATTGAACCTGGGAATAGTCTGTCACCGTGGCTTTATGTGTCCATTATTTGTCCAGGGCTTTGGTTCTGTATTAAACTTTTATTCCAGGGCTTTATGTGTCCATTATTGTGTTGAGTCTGTTGAATAAGTGGATTGGTTTACTGCTGTTTGTCTCATTGCTGTTGAATGTTGTAAAAATTTGTTGCTGGATATAGGAGCTTCCTTTGTCCATGTTGGTGGGAATAGCTAGTTCTTACCTGATTTGCCTTTTGGTTTTCTATCTCAGCAAAAAAGAGTTCATCTTCTAGATACGGAACCTTTTGAGAATGCTTTTGGATCAAAGGGGAAGAGGAAGCGCCCAAAGCTTCTGGTGACAGATTACCAGTCTCTGGTGCAGAAAGCTGATAGTTTACAAGGTATTCTCAAATTTATTATATTTGGGTTTTGTTATGTGTGGTAAGGTGTAATGTGCTAAACCAAAGCGAGTGGTTACCACTTGTACTAATAAATTGTCATATTTACTGCAGCTAAACATTTTTTGTAGCTGCAAGTATATTACTTGATTCATGGCTCATGCTTTGCTCTGTGGTTCTGCAGATGAATATAATCAGAAAGTAGAAGCTAACCCTTCTATTGAAGGAGAAGATGTGGATGGATTCCGGGATTTGGTTCGCCATACGATGTTTGAGAAAGGTCAAAGTAAACGTATATGGGGTGAACTCTACAAAGTCGTGGATTCGTCAGATGTTGTTGTCCAAGTAAGTAACTTGCCATTGCCTCTTTTCAGTTGGAGCTTAAGACTTAGCCACTTACCTGTATATGTTTTACAACTGTTGCATAGGCATAGACTTTCTTCCTTTTTGTGTTCCTTATCTTGGTTAAATAACTCCTTGTACCTAAGACACTAGATTGTAGGATTAGGATTTCCTTTGATAGAAAATGTTATCTGTCAATTATTTCTCGCTTGGACGAGGGTTGGCACCTAAAGTCTGTAGAAGACTTCTGAGTTTTCTGTAATGCAATCTCTTCAATTTGGATGAAAGTTAAGAGGAAGATTTGTTTAAAAGTTGGAGGATGAATCCGTGTGGTTCCCAGGGTAGCTGGTAAATTTTTAGACCGTAAAGTGTTAACTATTGTTAGATTGTGGAAGTCAAGTTTTTAAAAGTCTCTTTCTCACACAGGCTTGTTTATGATGGTCTGTAGCACCTGTGATGGATTGCCCTTGAAATACGAGATGATTAATGTCTTATTACACGTATTCATATCAATGTGTTAGATGGAAAATTTTTAAGCTGTTTATCATTGTTAGGCTGTGGAAGTTGAGTTTCAATGTCTTCTCCTCACTCAGGCTATCTGTGAATCTGTGATGGTCTGTTGCTGAAGTTTAACAGATTTATGGGGCCTGTGATGGATTGCACTTGGATTACAAGATAATTGATGTCTTATAGCAAGAATATATATTCTATTTGTTCAGTTGACTTGTTAAAATATGTTGGGTAAATGCTTATGGTTCCTCTTGACCATTTTTTGTTAGGTTTTGGATGCTAGGGATCCACAAGGAACACGATGCTATCATCTAGAGAAGCATTTAAAAGAGAACTGCAAGCATAAGAATATGATCTTCCTGTTAAATAAGGTTTGATCCTTGCCTATATTTTGTGTCTTATATTTACAGTTTACTGCACCATGGTGTCTTCTAAGATGATATAGGTTACTGTTGCCCTTTATGCAGTGTGATCTGATTCCAGCTTGGGCTACAAAAGGTTGGCTTAGAGTATTGTCAAAGGAATATCCCACCCTAGCTTTCCATGCTAGCATTACTAAGCCTTTTGGAAAGGTAAGGCTGTTGCATGCTAAGTCTTAATACACTCATTCTTCTCTTTAATAAAAGTAGAACAATGCTCTGACTATATGTCATTGGCATGCTTATATATTGTATTCAACTTCCTTATTCAAGAGATTCCCTCGCATGATAAAAGTTTGAGCACATAAGAGAATTATACGTGGATCTTAACAAACCTGAATTGAAAACACTGGGGGATTTTTGAACATAATGAGCAAAAAAAATGGCATTTTATTTACCATTTTTGTTTGATGAAGTCATTGGGATCAGAAACAAGGCATGATTTTGGGGGGAAAATTATTGCTGCTATAAAATCCCCTGTTTTATTTTATTTTTTTCCATTTAAAAAAACTTGTTTTATTTTATTTTCAGGGTTCTCTTCTTTCAGTTCTGAGGCAATTTGCACGGCTAAAGAGTGACAAACAAGCAATATCCGTGGGATTTATTGGGTACCCCAATGTTGGAAAATCATCTGTTATCAACACATTGCGTACCAAAAATGTATTCCTTTTACTGGTTATTATTTCAAGATACAATTTTTTTACAGGCTATTCTGACTTGTTTAACTCCTTTGCTTCCATGTAAAGGTCTGCAAGGTTGCCCCTATACCTGGGGAGACTAAAGTTTGGCAGTATATCACGCTCACCAAAAGGATTTTTCTGATAGACTGCCCTGGTGTTGTTTATCAGAATAATGACTCAGAGACGGATATTGTTTTGAAGGGTGTGGTATGTACTTTCCATTATTTATATATTGTTTTACTGCTGTCTTTTAAACTTGTGTTATGTTGGTGTAACTCCGACATCTAGGTGCTTGTACCTGCTTTTGGTGTCATTCATACTTTTTCCTGGTATCGCTGGTCTGTGAGCCATTTACAGATGAATTGATGTCTGAGAATCTCTTTGGTTTTCTAATGACATTTTAAAAGATAGATCAATCATAGCTTAATCATAGCTGTTTTATGCTTAGGCAAGGTAGCTGGAAGCCTGGAATATGATGATAGGGTACATGTATGTAAATTATATTCTGTTACAGCTGAAGAATCTTAATGAGCTGTTTTGGATTGTAATTGCAGGTGCGAGTAGCAAATTTACATGATGCCTCTGAACACATTGGAGAAGTGTTGAAACGTGTAAAGAAGGAGCATCTGGAAAGAGCATACAAGATTAAGGACTGGTATGTATTTCATACTCCTGATTTCTTCCGGACTTGTTATCAGCCTGTTTTTGTTCACCTCAAGTTGCAGTTAAAATATTGAATTTACTGTACACAGAATTCCTCTCTCTATTACATGCATGTCACAATCTTAAAATAGCGGCTTTACTATGTTGTAAATAGTGTATTGGTTAGATATGAGCTTATGAGAAAAACTCTTTTAGGGAATTAGGCAGTTTCACTTCAGATGCTCTCTTGTACTTGGTTAGATATGTGATCATGAAGAGTACACTTTTATTGAATTACTCCATAGAATTTTTAGTTTAGATCCTCTCCGTACTTCCTTGCATCTGATTCTACCCCCTCATCCCCATTGCAAATATTGACTTGTGCTCTTCAGTGAATTTGAGTGAAATAGTCGACTTAGCCTTTCACATTTGAGGCACATTGGAAGATATTTATCTATAAAATGTTCAAAATGTAGATACCCAACTGCTACTGTTTTTTGACAGATAAAGTATTTTTGTGCTACTGAGAAGTCTATTTATTGTTCTGTCTTTTCTTTTGACGTACATTTTTCTTCACATAATGTGAGATGTTTAAATGAAGATCAATTATGCTGAAGAACTTTTTTGCTTATATATACTTTTGCTTTACCTTATAATATTAGTCCACATTTGAATATTTGATTGAAGATCATTTTTTAGGATTTTTGATGATTGTTTTCATTATTAAAAATTATTATGTCTTTGCCATACCAAGGGAGTCTTTATTTTGAATTTTGACTATGGTGTCATTAAGTGTAATATTTGAAAATTTGAAAATTTATGCCTATTTTAGTAATTAGCCTTACATTTTGGGATGTCCTTTTTCCAATCCGTCACTGAGAAAATTGGATGTTTGATAATAATGGTTGTAGTTTGCTGTTATTGGTAGTTGATATTTTAATCCGTCACTTTGCATTATATGGGTTGTGCTTTGGTGTCTGTACATATTGTAATTTCAGATTCTTGAATATTGTTTCCACTTTCTGCTAATGTGCTGAGTTGTGGAAGCATTAAACTTTGTTAATTCTTGTGGAAGCATTTCATCTTTTGATGCTTGTGTTTATTGTTTACATTTCCTTTTGGGATTAAATGAAGTTTATGATGTGTTATTGCCAGGGAGGATGAGCATGATTTTCTCTTTCAGCTTTGCAAGTTATCGGGCAAGCTATTGAAGGTGTGTTTCGTTCTCTCTTTTTCATTTCATTCACCTGAGCATGTTCTCTATAATAACAGCAGACAAGCAGAATGGTTGATGGAAACTGATATAATTCAGACATTCCTGCATGAACTAGCTGCTATTTTTGAAATTAAGTTTTTAAGATTTTTACAAGCTATTTTATAAACCAACAAAAAGATGCTTTTAGACATGTCCATGTTTATATTGCTATCTTGTCAAAATATTACTTCATTGTTGATAATTAGCCTTGGCTAGATTATAAACGTTATTTTTGGTGATTCAAGTTTAAATGAATACCACCTCTTGATTTGTTTAATCTTCTAGACTTTTAGGCATCTGCTGCCTGTCTGCTTCTAATTCCGAATTTCAATTACACTATCATAGTGGGAAGGGTTGTGAAACTTGTATGCCATATAATTTTTATTTGCTCTTTGGAGTTGTGGATGTTTGATGAAAGTGGCACTCTTTGCTCCAGGGTGGAGAACCAGACTTGATGACAGTTGCAAAGATGGTCCTTTATGATTGGCAGAGAGGCAAAATACCCTTTTTTGTTCCTCCGCCACAGCAGGAAGATGATACAGTAGAGGAGCCAAATGTTGCTGGTGATGAAGATGGAGAGACCGAGGCAGAGAAAGCAAAGTCCTCTTCAGCCATGAAAGCTATTGCAGATGTTATTTCATCTCAGCAGCTGGAAGAAGTCCCAGTTCAGAGTGATCTGTATAGCGAAAATGAGCTCAAGGGAGAGATATCTAAAGAAACTGTGAATTCGGAGTAATTATTTTTGTTTTATTTTTGTTTTTTGTACTTGTTTTTCAAAAAAAATCTTATTGATCATAGTAATCGAACGGGTATTACTGTGAGTGAAACAAAGATAGGAAAGAAAAATATTAGTAGATTTTGATCTATTGCTGCCCGGGTGGCTACATCTTTTTGGTTAATGTACTAGTCTACGTTATTTATGTATTGGCTGCAATTTATTGCGACTTTGTTGTCAATTACTCAATTGTGCTGTGTGGTTCATGATCTCTGGTTGGTGAGACTGATCTTTAATTTGTCAAAGTTGACAAACTAATGTTTTGATCTTTGACATTTGACTCAACTTGCAATGAGATTGCTGGACAGGTGTTGTGGGTCTATGTATTTAGTACCATTTTTTTTTAATTGACATGTTTTAACTTTAGCACTATTCACACATTCCTCTTTGACCGTGTTGTGTGATTTATTCGTAATGAATATGTGGGGTACTGGGGTCTTGTTAGATTCGTCACGGTATATATTTTTAAAATATCAACATTTTTTTAATTTGGTTATCGATAATTAAAGATATTAATGATTGAATTTGTGCAATTGACAAATGTGACTAAAGAAACGTGTCAACTAAAAAGAAACGAAAGAAGTATAGTTCTGATATTAACTTGGGTTATATTAGTGACGTCACTTTATTGTATACTACTATACTAGTTTTGGCCCCGTGCAATGCACGGATTTATAAAGTAAGATTTATTAATAATAATAGTCAATTGAAATAGAGTTAATTGGAGTTAAATGACTTATATAACATTTTTTTTTTGAACTTTAAATTTATCATTTATCCTTTAAATTCTTATGCGATACACACACACACACATATGTGCATATGAGTCATCACCAAGTCTAAACCTGTAAATCACGTAAAGTGCAAGATGGATGAGTAATAAAACTCTGGATTAGTGCACATTTGGAGTAATGACAATCAGGGGTTGGGGTACATGGGGTATTAGTGTAGGAGTTTATAGGTATTACGCAGCGGAAAAACATGAATCATATTCAAACAAGTACCAATCCCAAGAATCACATGCATAACACACAAGACACATAATCATACCTTTGACGCGTGAATTCCACGAAGCTATTCGACAGGCAAATCAAGGAGAGAATAGAGCCCCAAGCGTTGCTCCTCTACTTAGTCCACGAGATTCGAACGAGCCGTCCACCAATACTAGATTGGTCGAGTGATTGAGGAAAACCGCGATCACCACCTTTATGGACAACCGACCACCGCGCGAACCACCACCACCACGACACACCACCGGCGCCTAGGAGGAGGAGAGAGCCGTGTGAGAGAGAGGACTTTGAGAGGGTTGGGTTTCGTGTTTGCTAATTAGGGTTTGATCACACTGATCAGTTAATTCCTTACTTACTTGCAACCCTAGGCACCTAGTCTATTTATAATCTCATTATAATTAGATTAGGGCACGAAGCCCAAAACTCCTTCTAATCCACTACATGGCCGGGCCACCTAGAGTGATGAGGCCCATGACGGGCCTCGTCCTCTAATGCTCGATCTAGCCCCTTTGTGTGACCTTATAGGATCCGTCCAATTGGGTTTTGGGCTATTTTACTAGTCCAAAGATCGTTAGTACCTCTAGCTATGGAAAAACGACGACCCAAAAGTACGAACTTAATTATCTCCATAATTTGATCCAATTATATATCTAGTAATTGCACACAACGAAGACATAACTCCTTCAATCTCCCACTTGTCTGAGACAAGGGTGCAATATTCAAATTCCTTAAGTCAATGTATGTGTTGATTTGATAATATGATTGCATCACATGTCGAGATCATATTAATCTACAAATCGTTTCTTGAAATCTGAGTTAGAATTACAAAACCAAATAATTACTGTGTAATGCATTTGAACGCGGCCACGTATTTTTCTGAATTCTCCCTCTTCAAGCGGCCATGACACATTTCCTAATTTAATAGGTAGACTTTATCCAATCTTGTGGTAACATGAATCCCACTCAACTTCTGAAACAACCGGGAAACACCCTTTATAATCTCCAGTTACGGCTAGACGTTTGAGTGTACCACAATCACAACATCCATTGAATGAAATCAATGTTCCACTCATGTCAAAGGAATCCACTAATATATACGGAAGCTCTATACTTGAACTTCAAAGTAGGTCAATAGTTCGATCATGCATCATTCATGCATATCCAAGTGATTGACCGAGTATCACTATGCCCCTATAGCCCATGAAATTGCGCTATCCAATCAATCTTACATGCTAGTTCTTTTATTGAAATCATTTATGTCCACTTTAATGATCTCGAACTAGGAACTTCAATAATATGTGAATTTTGTTCACCTGTGGGGTTTCAATTCACCAGGTCATCCTGATGAGCCCATCAATTCATAATTATTTTGGACATTTTATTTAATTTTCAAAACCATAATTAAATAAGAGAAATAATAATTTCTATTTTAAATATAATTCTGCAAATTGATGCATTTCTCATGTAATATGTTTTCTCAAAACATATACAACTTAAATTACATAACTTGCTTCAATCCTAAGACTTTAATATGACTCTCATATCTTAGTCCATGGAAGGGGTTTAGTGATTTCTCACTCATAATAAAACTTTGCAGAACACGACCTTCCGCTGGTTAATGATCTCATAATTGAGGTGATATATCATATCCTTTTGTTTGGATTTGTGATGGGACTCTGGCTCCTTTGTTTTGGGCAAAGGTGACCTATTAGTCATATGTCATTCTAATCCGAACTTCCTCTGTAACTATCTGACTATAGTTTAATACACAAATTCTGACACCGAGTATGCAACAGTGCTCTGCTTTGAACTCTTCAAGCTCACTGTCCTTTTCCATCCAGACACAATATGCATTTAGATCACCATCTAGAATCATCTTGCGTGTTTGGAAAACTTGCATTTGTGTAACCTTTTGACAACTTGCTTAAATTACCATTTAACAAATAGGTAGAAGAATTCCTTTTAGTGCTTCTCAAGTACTCAACGAACTGTTCCTGGTAATTCTCCGTATGCTTATTCTGAATTTTCTTGAATTCTACTACACATGCACAAGTCATATGCAACATCTTGCATTGTACATTTCATGGCACATGTAATGGATCATTTTGTAGAAGCATAAGGTACATTATCCATACAACTAAACTCTATTAGCTTTTAAAGGCACTGAGTCTTACTGAGTGTATTACCATGAAACATGGGAAGATATCCTATCTTAGAGTCTTGCTTCATGAACTTGTCATGATCCTTATCAACATAAGTCTCTCGATTCATTCCAATCATTCTTTAAGATTCACTTCATGGATCTTAATTCCCAATATGTACTCAACATCTCCTAAGTCTATCATATAGAAACAATCTTTCTAACCATTGCTTGACTTATTCAAGCATTGATATATCATTTCATATGAACTGTATGTCAACTACATACTAGACTAAAAGACCAATTGCTCCCACTAAACTTCTTGTCTCTACAAGATTCCTTTGTTCTACTAAGGAAATCAAACTGTTTGATTGCCTAATCAAAACGAATGTTCCAACTCCTTAATGCTTACTTCAATCCATAAATGAATTTTCTGAAGTTTGCAAAACTTTCTAGGAATTTCTGGATTTCAAACTCTTAGGAAGTATCATATACATGTTAACTATCAAGAAAATTTCATGAAAGTGATTTTGATATCCACAACTAGAATAATCCGAATAGGCTTACCCCACTAATAGGTTTGACCCTATTTGTAAGACTATTATGGACTAACACATCTTTACAAACATGGAGTCCATACTGGATTTCATGGCTTTAAGCCATTTCGTGAGTTGGCATTTATCCAAAGCTTGCTTGTAGGCATGGGTTCCAACCATTCCAATAGGAAAATTTTAGAATCCACCTTTTTCTCAGAATTTCAACAAACTGTTTGTTTTGATCCCAAGTAGCCTACGATAGGTATGAGCGACAATAAAATTATTCTCTTCAACTCTTTGAAGTCTTTCATTCTAGTGGGACGATAGAAGCCTCACTAGTGGAATTAGCTTGCTTCGACACATGGTTTATCAAATTAGCTGATTTCATATGCCTTCGTCTTTGATGTAGTGTTATCCACATCCATTTGTTGCTCGTCTCGAATCTCATCGAGATCTAACTTTACTCACACTTGTCTTTGTAGGAAGACATTATTTCTATAAAGACACTATGGCGAGCAACAAACACTTTTTTTCTACGCGATTGTAGGAATAATACCTCTTAGTTTCCATGAGAAGACCCATGAATAACTACATTTCTGATTTAGGGTGTATTATGTCATCTTAGTAAACATTTTACATTGATTTCATAACCCTTAATCCTGTTTAGAAAAGATAACTTTTGGAACATTTCCAAATCATAACTCTTATGACATCTTTTCTACGGCTTTGGTTAAGTTTCTTGTTTAGTATATTCGCAATTGTTGTTGTAATGTATGTCCTCAAAACGATATTTGTAAATCATTAAATCTTGGATCGAACACTGACAAACAAAGTTTGATTCATTCTTCATAAACATACAATTTAATTGTAATGTTTCTGGATTGTGAATTAATTCAACAATTCCCTTTAGATGATCATTCCTTTTTGAGTTAAATATTTATCACAACAATCATATTGTGGTGTTAAATTGTTTATCTCAAACTGATTTTACATTTCATTTTTAGAATTTTGAACTTTTCAATATTTCCAAGCTTTACCTCATTAAGTAATTATTGACATTTTACTTAAATCGTCAGTAAAAACGATGAAATAGTTAAATCTCTTTGCTAGTTTTGAACTTATTGATTCACATACATCATATGTATGAGTCTCAAAAGGTCATTTTAGCTTCCTTTACCCTTTCTACTAAAAGGAAACTTGGTCATTTTAACTTTTGTCAAGCATGACTTCTAATTCTCAAGTGATTCATAATCATATAAGAATAAGAGTCTATCCATAACTTTGGATGTGCAAATGGTTTATGTGACCTAGCCTTACTTGTTATAAGTAAGTGTATTTTGAATCATCTAAGTTTTACTTTTGTGATATACTTATATCAATGTCATAAAACAAAATTAACTCATATCTAGCAAAATGAAAACAATTTATTACCTTGTTCATGGATCAACACTTGTCCAAGCCAAGTAAACCAACAAGAAAACCGAAATATTGTCTCATCAAAACTGGAAATTGTTCTA